GACATAGCTCTATTTTAGATTCATTTGGGAGACTGTTGTTGTCTCCAGTATGTTTAAAATGGCACTAGAACTGTGTTCAACTTGGTCACTTCCCACTGAATCAAGATGTATTAGGAAAAAAGTGATAGATTTGTTTTTTCCAAAATCCTCAAGTTGATTTTGGTAAATCATGGGGCACCTGTTGAGTAGTAGTAACTTTATTTAGAACTGAGGAGGAATTTGTCATGACCTTCTATTTTAAAACAACCAGGCTTCTCAGTAAAATATGTCTAGTCTCTGTGCCCTTATTGTTAAATTTAGTGTCTTTATGGGCTGTGCCTTAGCTCAGAGGACTGAAGTGCATGTCTTTGAAATTTAGGCATGGTAATTCAGTGTTAACTTCACTGTAAGTCTTCAAGTGACCATTTTTTGTTTTATTTGAAGGCCTTTTACACAGTGGACTCAAATCCCAAACTGAAGCCTCCACAAACCAATAATAAAAAATGCTCCTTAGATTATTGACCATCATGCTTTTTGGTGATGTTTTGACACCCCAGTCTGGACTGAGGAAAGCACTGAAAACCAAGATTTAAACACAAATCGCTGATATGAGAGCCATTATGTCAGTCTCAAAAAAAAATAATGTAAATCTTCAGCACCTGTTAATGCAGTAGGGGCTGACCTTTTTTGGTAGGTATGTCACAAATTAATCTCACACTCTCCTGGAACTCTGCTCTAATTCCCTTCCCTTGGAAGATCTGTGCTTTGCCATCTGCTCCCTCCCTGTTTGGCCATGTGCTACACACACAATCTGGCCATGCAACTTTTGGCACATGTGCCTGAAGTTGTCCCTGCTTTAAGGAATGATTTTTGTAATCCGTAGAATATGGGGAACCCTAGAATACAATACTATTTAGAGGTGCAGCAATACATTGGTCTGATGTCGGATTGGTACTGACGTGAAGAAAAATGGCTGCATCGGAAATCAGCCTGATGCAGCCAATAATTTGGCCGATAAATGCTAATGCGTGTGCACAGCCATAGCACAGCACTTGAGCAGGGAGGAGCAGAGCTGTGTGCAGCTGGTAAGTCAGTTGTGGTGGAAGGGGGGGGGAAGGGGTGTGTGGGCTGATCAATGCCCCCCATGGTGAGGGAGGGGGCACGTGCTGCCCAGGCAGGGCAGGGTGTGGGACAGCCGCAGCTCCTTGGGGTGGCCAGGGGTGCTGCTGCTTGCACGCCAGGAGGGCATGGGGGGGAGGTGTGCCCCCATATCTGTGCAGGGTGGGGTGGGTGGGGTAGAGCTAGGGCTGCACTAGGCTCTTCTCGGGCGGGGCTACAGAGGAGACTGCAGCCACCCCAAATTTCGCTGTAGCCCTGCTTCCAACACTGCTGCAGGCTCAATGCCCTGCCTCCACCCACACGCCAGGAAGAGCCAGGGCTGCACTGGGTGCACAGCGGCAGTGGTGCTAGGAGTGGGGCTGTCCTGAAATTTGGGGTGGCTCTAGTCCCCTCCATAACCCCTGTCCCAAGCCCAGTCCCTGCTGACAAGAACCTGGCGCATCTCTGGCTCCAGCCCACAGCTGCAGTCTGCTCTGCCCTCTGCAGATCTGGGGCATGCATTTCTCCCCCCGTGCCCTCCTGGAGTACAAGCAGCAGTGGGAGCCGCCCCTCTGCCCTGAGGAGCGGCACAGCTCCATCCTGTATCCCGGCCCACCCCAGTTGGGCAGCACCTGCTCCTGCCCCCTCCCTCACCGCAGAGGAGTGTTGATCTCCCCCCCTCCCCTTCCACCACACTGGACTTACCAGGTGCATGCAGCTATATTGGAAATCAGATCGGTATCGGCCAGTATGCCTCCTTAAACATTGGCTCTCAGTATTGGCCACCCAAATCACTATTGGTGTACTCCTAGTACTATTGGTGGCAGCTACAATCTTGATCTCTGCTTATCCTCATAGGGTTACTTCCTTCTAATCTTTGGGATTCCTTTTTTTATCTTGCAGAAGATGAACTTTTTCTTAACCCTGCTATTTTAGAATGTTGTAGTTTATGTTAAAATATGTGTTTGTAAATCTTAATTTTAATGAGGGATATTCTTTCATATGAAAGGTGGAGCAATGTTGACAGAGACATTTGAAATTCCAGTGTGTAGAATTAAGCAGACTTGCTTCATTGGTGCTGGCATTATAACCCAGCATAAGTATCAACTTTATATTTAAATAAGCCGTGAACTGCAGGTGTGAACATTTGTCTAATGTGGTTTAGCCTGGTGCATGCATGCTGATCAAATGGTGGTGAAATTTGAAGTCTTTAATTGCAAGATCTTGGTTCTCTGTAAGGCCAGTGTAAAAGAGTGAAGAGAAGAAGGTGCAGACCACACTGATTCTTACTTTTCTTGTGAAATAGTTCTGTTTGCAGACTGTACAACAACACATGCATATGAAGATAAAAAGGCTAGGTGTCTGCCAAAATTTCAGTGAACATTAGCACGGCAGTTTTATGCTCCTGGCAAGAGAAGTACAGGTTCATGGTAATGATTTGGTCATTTAGCACCTACATTTAATTGCAGTAGGTAGCAATTGACTGAAGTTCAGTACATGTTGTCTCCTCTCCCCCCCCCCCCCCCCC